AAAAAAAAAAAAAAAAAAAAAAAAAAAAAAAAAAAAAAGAATAGCTGGGGTTATAGGCCTTTGCCACTAAGGTCTGTCCTGGGAGTTTCCTGAGCTTCAGAGTTATTGTCATAAATTTGTTCATAGTATGTTGAGCAGGGCTGCCTTATTCCTAGTATTGTGTCCTTCTGTCTGTCTTACTCTAGTGGGGTGTGGGTGTGGGTGTGTTCTGCTAGGGATTGAACCTAGGATCTCATACATGACAGACATGTGTTCTACCACTTAGTTCGGATCCACTTTCAGCTTTTGGGTTTGATGATCTTCTGACTTTGGTTTTATTTTTGTTTTGTTTTTTCAAGACAGGGTTTCTCTGTGTAGTTTTGGAGCCTGTCCTGGAACTCACTCTGTAGACCAGGCTGGCCTTGAACTCACAGAGATAAGCCTGGCTCTCAGGAAGTTTAGTTTTTTTCGAAAGAACCAAAAAAAGAAAGAAAAAACAAACCGTTTAGATGTTTAGGATCTCAGTGAGGGCTGAGGAGTAAGTAAAAGCATTTGGTGGCGAGATGGTTAATGGTCCTGGGGGTCAGGTGACCTGTTTGGGTTGAGGATGCCCTCGTTCCATTGCTTCTTCACAGTTCTGGAGGTTTTCCTTTTTCAAATCTGAACTTACTTTTTCTTTAAAGCATTGTCCTTGTGAACTTCCTTGAAGATGGCAGCTTGTCTGTGACTGGGATTATGGGACACTCTGTGCAGACGGTGGAAACGGTGAGTGAAGCAGACCCCAGGGTAAGGGAGCAGCTGGCACATCTGTTCACATCTGCAGATTGTAAAGGGTACAGCCCCGAGGATCTGGAAAAGAGAAAGAACAGCCTAAAGAAGTGGCTGGAGAAGAACCACATCCCGGTCACCGAACAGGGAGATGCACAAAGGACTCTCTGTGTGGCTGGGGTCCTGACGATTGACCCACCATATGCTCCTGAAAACTGCAGCAGCTCCAATGAGATCATTCTGTCCCGCATTCAGGATCTTATTCAAGGCCATCTTTCAGCTTCCCAGTGAGAGGCCGGGCACTGTGAACGCACTGATCCAAATGACTTGACTGTTCGGTTTTGTGTTAAATGCTTCGAATGTAAGTTGATTGTATTATAGGAGTTCAAAAGCACACGTGGGATGCATGTGTGTGTGCATATGTTAAGTTTTTGTGCTGACTTTCCTGGGAAGGGAAGGGTACATGGGTAGCGTCCCATGCTCTGAAATTAACACAGGAAGTAATACTTGTAAGGAGCTTGTCTGTGATGAGGGTAAGCCGTTCTTTTTGTGAAGCAAGGATACATTTTGAATGGGTGTAGCAGTGTGAAATGATTTATAAATTTCAATATAAGATATTACGGTAAAATCAGTCTTGGGTTCCTTGGACTAACCAAATCTCTGTGTTCTTAAAATGTTGGTCTTTGAGATTGATAACAATAGCAATAACTCTTTGAATTAGAGTAAGCCGTGGTTTGGCTGTGGCTTGTGCCTCCCTACAGTTCTTGTGATAGGAATTTTTAACTTTATGAGATGAGACATGGGGCTGGAGAGATGGCACAGCAGTTAGGAGTACTAGCTGTTCTTCCAAAGGACCTGGGTTCAGTTCCCAGCACTCACATGGCAGCTCACAACTGTCTGTAACTCCAGTTCCAGAGCATTTGACATTGTCACACAGACATACATGCAGGCAAACACTGCACCTAACATAAAAGGGAATAAACTGTTAAAAAAAAAAAAAGAGAGAGAGAGAGAGAAAGGGAAATCTTTAGGTCATTAAAGGTACGCCCTAAAGAAGGATTGTGGGACCTGGCTTCAGACTTGGGTGATATAAGCTCTCCTGTATGGTGGCTTAGTGCATCTGAGAAATAGAAAATAGAAAGCTCTTAAGTTAACATGGTTCATTGCTAACCAAAATGGAGCTGATGCCGTCTGACTGTCCTGGGCTCCCACCTTTGAGCTAAATTTCTCTTCATAAATACCCTGTTGCAGGCATTTAGTTCATTTTAGTGACCCAAGGCTGACTAGTAGAGTACTTTTTTTACGGTTGAAAGTTTTGGCTGTTGGTAAAACCCTTTTTTTGGGAGGGGGGACACAGGGTCTCACTATGTAGCTTTGGTTATCCTGGAACTTACTATGTAGTCCAGGCTGGCCTCAATCTCACAAAGATCCACCTGCCTCTGCCCCCTGAGTGCTGGGATTAAGTGTGGGCCACCACACCTGGCTTTTCCTCACAGCTTAATTCACTGACCGAGACTCTTTAGAAATTTACTAGAGGAAAGGGAATAGGAAATAACCAGCTCAATCATGGAAATGAGTCTGACCAGGGGACGCCCTTGGAAAGGGAGAAGCTATATAGGAAATGAACCACAGCATCACTCGGGCTTGGCCTTGGCTCAGGGACGGATTCTGGTGCATTAGTGTTGGTAGATAGATGGGCTGTCAAACTAGTCTGTTGGGGACATGCTGTTTCTTGGCAACTGAATCCTTAGTTTAAACAATCTGCCTCCAAATAAAAGTGCTGGAGAGGGCAAATGATCCTCTCTGCCTTGGAAACTGCCGCTCCCAGTGCCTCAGCTGAGATGTTCCAGAGAGGTTCGCTCACCTTCTAACCTTGTTCGATCACCTGCTTCTAACCTTTCTTCAGGGCCGTCGGTTGGAGTTCCAGGACCTGCAGAGGCAGTCTCCCAAAGCTGGCTCGGTTTCCTGCCAGGTCTGGAGGGCAGCCAAGGCTGTCTTTGAACATGATATCAACAATACTTTAAAAAAAACAAAAGACTTGGGCTGGAGAGATGGCTCAGTGGTTAAGAGCACATACTGCTCTTCCAGAGGATCTGGGTTTGATTCCTAACACCCACATGAGTTGGCTCACAACCAACTCTTAACTCCAGTTCCAGGGATATCTAACACTGGCCTGTGTGGGCACCTGCACTCACAGGCACACGCTTACCCACATACACATCATTTAAAGTAAGAAAAATAAATTATTAAGGCTTTGGGGGCATTCATTCAGCTTTTACAACTTTATTATTTTTTTAATTTAAATTTTTTGTTGTTGTTGTTGTTTTGAGACAGGGTCTCACTATGTAGTTCTGGCTGTCCTGGAACTCACTATATAGACCAGGCTGTCCTTGAATTCACAGAGATGAGCTTGCCTCTGTCTCCCAAGTGCTGAGATTAAAGGCCTGGCTTGGCTTTTTAAAAAATTGTCTTAGAAGCATAATTTTTAGTAATTCCTTCCTATACAGTTTGTCTGATTTCCTAAATATTCCCACTGTTTCCTAGAGACATTTTGGCTGAAATAGATTTTTCACAAAATTAAATTTTTTTTTTTTTTTTTTTGGTTTTCGAGACAGGGTTTCTCTGTGTAGCTTTGCGCCTTTCCTGGAGCTCACTTGGTAGCCCAGGCTGGCCTTGAACTCACAGAGATCCGCCTGGCTCTGCCTCCCGCGTGCTGGGATTAAAGGCGTGCGCCACCACCGCCCGGCTTCAAAATTAAATTTTTTTAATTATTGGAACTGATCAGGTGTCTCAGCAGGTAAGGACACATGCCACCAAGCCTGATGACTTGAGTTCCACAGGGTTGAAGCAGAGAATTGACTCCTGTAAGCACCCTACTCTCCCAAAATAAATCTAAAAATAAAATTGTTGAAAAATTAGAAGCCTTCACGGTCAACTGTTAATTTCTAGAGTATTGATCGAAATGTGTGATGCTTTGAAACAGATTGTGGGATGCTAGTATGGGCTAAGGATTACTATCTAATTCCTGCCAAGAACTTGGGGAGAAATCAGCATATTGGGGGGCTAAGTGATACATACTTAATTATTCCTACTTCCAAATATAGTTGATTTTTATAAAATATTATTAAGAGATTTTGTTTGCTTGTTTGTTTTATGAAAAATCTCCCAGCTCAGTGAGTAATATGCCTGTTGCAGAAGCATTAAGAGCTGATGTCGAGACTCCAGCATTCCTGTCTGATGTGGAGACACGAACCTGGAACCCCAGTCCTGGGTGCTGAGTCAGGCAGAACCTAGGGCTTGCTGGTAGCCAGTCTAGCTGAAATGCCAAGTTCCAGGTTTAGTGGGAGGTTCTGTCTTGAACATTAATGAAGATGGGGGCTGGAGAGAGAGCTCAGCAGTTAAGAGCACTTGCTGTTCTTGCAGAGAACCCACGTCAGTGGCTTCCAACTGCTGGTAACTCTCAGAAGAAGGGTTCTGATGACCTTCTCTGGCCTCCATGGGCACCTGCACAGTGTGGTGCACATACAGATAGTCAGGTACATACATAAATGTTTAAAAAATCTAAGATGAGAAGTGATTGAGGAAGACATCGTCGATCAACCTCTGAGCTCAGTCCACCTCCCTCATGCACACAAACATGTCGGATGAGAAACCATTTCCTGGTGGTTTCATCTCCCTGCTTTATCTATTTCTTTGTTCCTTTTTCTTTTCTCCCACTCTCTCTCTTTTTTTTTGAGAGAAGGTCTCATATAGCCTAGGCTAGTCTCAAACTGTGAATGTAGCTGTGGGTGGCCTGGAATGCCTGATCCTCCAGACAGCCTCTCAAGGGCTGGGATCACAGGTGTGTATTAGTCTGCCTGACAAAAAGTTAGTTTTTAAGAATCTGTTGTGATGGCCCAGCTGGTAAAGGCACGTGTTGCCAAACCTGAGTTTCATCCCTGGTGGAAAGAGAGGACCAACTCCTGAAAGTTGTCCTTTGACCTCCACATGTGTGTGTGCATGCACACACACACACACACACACACACACACAAAGAATATTTATAGAAAGAGGAAGGATTAAACTTTGCAAGTTTGTGGAAACATTTATGGAGGATTCCAGTAAAGCGCCCAGTTTTACATTCCGTCAGCATTGTATGAGCCTCTAATGTTTCCACATCCTTCCCAGATTTGTTGTTTTTTGTTTTTCAAGACCAGATTTCTCTGTGTAGCCCTGGCTGCCCTGGAATTCACTCTGTAGACCAGGCTGGCTTTGAACTCAGATCTGCCTGCCTCTGCCTCCTGAGTGCTGCCATTAAAGGTGTGTCCCTGGTCATCCAGCGGTTGTTAATGTATGTCCACAGGTGGAGGGCAGAGGACTACAGTACTTTGTAGTTGTCTGTGTACAAGTCATATGCTGCTTCCCCCCCACCTCCCCCTTTTTTTTGAGCTAGGGCTTTGGTCTTTCTAGGTTTCCCAGGCTGGCTTCAAACTTGCAGCAATCCTCCTGCCTCAGCCTCTCAAGTATACCATCACTCCATTAAACAGGCATACCTTATTTCTGATGGACAGAGGCTTGGGAATCCAACCCAAAGCCTCTTGCATGCCAGACAAGCACCCTGCCACTGAGCTCCATCCCTAGACCCGAGAGTGGAAAAACAGAATTAGGAAACCTGGTGCCTTTAGTTCCTTTCCTTTTAGTTTCAATAAATAGGTGTCCAGATTCTTCAGCTGCCTTAGAGGCTCTTACGTGGCTAAGTTATGTTCCAGATGGAGTGCATTCGAGGGAGCCTCATATCTGCTCTGTGTCCTTGTTCATCTGTGTTCAGAATTTCTAGCGTGTTGACTGATCTACAGCACCTGATTAAATACGCTGCTGTAAGTGAAATTCCAAACAGATGTGGGAGGCATTTCTGCAGCCCCACCGTGGAGGTCAGGATAGCCCTGCAGTGTACTCCGGTTATAAACTGGCTTTTCTGTTGACTAACGAGATTGCATGCTTCAATTAATCTAGTCTCAGCTCTGCTCACTGTAGGAAAAGGTGGCGTAAAGATTACGTAGAAATAACGGGGGCAGCTGCAGTGTAAGCACAGAGCTGTGCGGGTGACTGTCAGAAAAGAGGGCACAGAAACATCTCTGATTACCACTTGCTTTGTCCCAGATCTGTAATCAGCTCGTTTCCTTATTATATGTGATAGTCCCTTAGTGCTCATCATGTAGCATGGCCCCCGAATGGTTATGCCATCTGTCTGCCAGAGAGCACACCACACCTTGGCAGTCTTACGGATAAACAACCCTGAAATCAATGGATTTTTCCAGCAGATTTTGAGAGGGAAGAGTTAATGTGCCCAGACATTAAGGTTCCTGTTAGGTTTTTACATATTAGCCAAAGTCTGCTAGATTGGACTTTGTGCAATTAGCATGAAGATAAGGTAAGGGTGTGTGTGTGTGTGTGTATTAGAACCGTCATAATGTAGGCCTAAGTATGATAACGTGCCAGTTGTTAGTATCAGCAGTCAGTATCACATACAAATCATATCTTCACATTTTTAAAATAAGTGATTTTTTAAAAAAAGTTCAGAACTGGTAGATCATGGTTTTTAATCCCTTTCCCTCTGTACATAGCTTTTTCCTATGTGTACATATCATT